AATAGCAACAACAACAAAAAACTACCAGGCAAGTCTTCATAGATCTAGATCATTCAAGTATTAACATATTAAAGTTAATTGGATATCACCTAATAATTAAGATGATTGACATAGTTCATACCTGATTTCCTAAACTAGAATACGTGCCCCTTAATGGCGACAGGTTTTGATGGTTGTGTTCCTAAAGGGCTTCAAGGTCAAGACAGACAGTTGCCACGGAGAAGCTGCCTGACAGACTGTTGTCTACAAGGAAAACGTTCCAATAAATCCTGACGAAGCAGGACATGCTAATATTTATCCAGAGGGTGGAAGGTCATTGTGTTGCGGCACAGTGAGAATTCAATTGATTTCTGTTGATTTTTCAAAGTCTAATGAAAGACAATGTGAGCATTGTCCTCTTGAGGAGGGTTTCAGCGGGAGTCAGGAGTGCATCCCATGGCTTAGATACGTTAGGAGGGTTTCAACGGGAGTCAGGAGTGCATCCTATGGCTTAGTTACGTTAGCAGAAGATGGAGGCATCGATACAGAAGTCATTTTAATCACCTGAGTCGTTTGCAATTGGAATGTAAAGGAGGGTCAAGAACCAGCTCATGTTCCTGGCTGTTATGACATTTTTAGATGTTTCAGAGCTCTGCCTTACCTCCCTGTGTTAGCGGATGAGGGTCGTGTGTGTGTTAGAAACTATCAGATCCAACTCTTCACAAGTTGAGAAACGACTAAGAAAGATTCTAATGTCAGTATTCTTAAATTGGGGATAAAGAGTTTTTCCTGGAATGTAGATAAATTTCCCCACCAGTGATCTATTCCTAAGTGGGAAGGAAAATAGCTCTGACTTTCAAAACATTGGTTTTGCTAATAAAGTTAATTTTTTCCCCCACAGCCTTTCTCTTAAGGATTAAGACAAAGCCAGTGAGCACTATGTAATCAGATCTAATATGTAATACTTGGCTTCAAATGTGTCTTTTCTACCCGAGGTCTTGAATCATCAAAAGAAAATCAATCAAACAAGCAGGGTTTGGAGAGATGGCTCAATGGTTAAGAGCATTTGCTGATCTTGCAGACCAGCCCTGGGTTTGAGCTCTAGTGTAGCATGAAGTGGGTGTGCTGGTGCAGGACCATAATCCGACTCAGCACTGGGCAAGTGGAAGCCGGAGGATCGGAAGTTCAAGATCAGCCTCAGCTACATCGCAAGTTTGAGGCCAACCTAAGATACATGATACCTTGTCTCCAAAAGGAAAGGAAAAAAAATGCTGAAAATAATACAATACAGAAAATACACAAGTTTTCTTTTTCTTCCATTTTTGAGTCTAGTTTCTCTATGCAGCCTTGACTTTTCCTGGTATTTGCTATATAGACCAGGCTGGCCTGGAAATCCTCTTGCCTCTGTCTCTCAATTACTAGGATTAAAGATGTGAGCCACTATACCCAGCTGCAAGTTTTCTTTTGTCTTGATAGTTAAGATTTTATTTTATTTTAAGAAAGATTTATTTTAAAATTATATGTAGTTGTGTATCTGTGTGTAGGTATGTGCACCATGTATATGCAGTGCCTGAGAAGGCCAGAAGAGAGCAATAAATCCCTAGGAACTGGAGTCACAGAAATTTGTGAGCTGCCATGTGGGTGATGGAACCCAGATTGGGTCCTCTGTAAGAGTGGCACCCTTTTTTTTTGAGACAGGGTCTCACTATACTGCCCTCACAGAGAGCTGCCTGCCTCAGCCTATGAGTGATGGAGTTAAATGTGTGTGTCAACTCAGCTGTCATGTTTTAAATGTCCTAGTCATTGATTTATTGATTTATAACACAATGAATATTGTACACTGGTTTAGCTCCTCTAAGGTTGTATGAACAAAATTGCATCATACATCTGCTGTGTACAACTTTCTAGGGATTTGGTTCATAGATTTTGTTGATTTTTCAATGGATGGACAGATCTAGTCTTCCATTTCCCTAAGCAAAACTGCAGAGTATAGATAAGTCTAATTTTGGAATGCTCTCCTATTTTATTTTTGAGATATATTTCTTTGTTTTTTTCGAGACAGGGTTTCTTTGTGTAGCTTTGGAGCCTGTCCTGGAACTTGCTCTGTAGACCAGGCTGGCCTCGAACTCACAGAGATCCGCCTGGCTCTGCCTCCCAAATTCTGGGATTAAGGGATTAAAGGCGTGTGCCACTACTGCCCGGCTTGAGATGTATTTTATTTATTTATTTATTTATTTATTTATTTATTTATTTATTTATTTATTTAGTGTTTCTGGGTATGAGCACACGCATGCCACAGAGTGTGTGTGGAGGTCAGAGGACAATCTTCAAGATTGTTTCTCTCTTTTCATCTTGTTTATGAGGCAGGGTCTCTCTGGTAATTTCTGCCACCCATGTGCAGACTCCATAATAATAATAATGATAATTGCTGACTTAAAACCACTGTTATCATCCATGTGTAGTGGTGCATGCTTATAGTCCTAGTACTTGGGAGGCTGAGGCAGGGGGATCTCAAGTTTGAGGCCAGCCTGGGTTATATACTGAGTCTTTCTGGATTATACTCCAACCAAATCACATAACTTCTGCCACCACCCAAAATGCTGTTATTACTTGATGTGTGTCAGGGATAATTCTCTCTCCAACAGATGAGGAAACTGAGTCATAACTACATCTCTATGGTCACATAAGGAGCATATAGTGGAGCAGGAACGAGGGACTGGCTTCAGAGGGACCCAGGCAGTGAAGCCTTGCTCCTGACCAACAGTTTATCTGTTTCTAAACTGGGGATTTTTATTGTTAGTGGTGAATTTTGACCTAGAACAGAGCAAGGCTGCATGTGGGGCGCACGTTACAAAAGATGCGGGGTATGGTACTCACCTTTAAGCCCAGCGTCGGAGAAGCAGAGGCAGGGGAATCTCTGGAGTTCCAGGCGAGGCTGGTCTACTTAGTGAGTTCCAGGTTAGTAGGGGCTACATTGAAAACAAACAAACAAAAACAAACAGACAAACAGACAAAAAACAAACCAAAATCATGTTGCAATAGACATCTAGTAAATATGAACTCTTGTATTCCTGAAGGCTTAACTGCCTCTCCAGGTAGATACGGTGTCATAGAAGGACAAGACCCACCCAGACGTGGTTAGAAAGAGACTTGAAAGTCTAAGGCCAAAGTCTGACATTGCTCTCCTCACTAAATTCTTTGATAATCTCATGCTTTCTCTTGAAATTGTATGCAAATGTTACATTCTATTCCACAACCACGTTGCTTACCTATTAATAGGAAACCTGATGGCCAGGTGTGGATTACAAGATTACCCCTGTAATCCCAGCAATGGGGTGGAGGCAGAGGCGTTATCATGAGTTCCAGGTCCACCTGAGTCACATACCAAGAGCAGCTCTGCAAACTGACAAAGTAAAAGAACCTCATTTCCTGCTGAGACTTGCTTATCCTAAAATCTCTCCTGATTCTAGTTTTTCTATGAGTGTGTATCTTGGTATGCTTGCCTCAAAGACTTCACTATTTTCTTTTTTCTTTCTTTCTTTCTTTCTTTCTTTCTTTCTTTCTTTCTTTCTTTCTTTCTTTCTTTCTTTCTTTCTTCCTTCCTTCCTTCCTTCCTTCCTTTCTTTCTTTCTTCCTTTCCTTTTTTGACAGGGTTTCTCTATGAAGCCTTAGCTGTCCTGGAACTTGCTCTGTAGACCAGGCTGGCCTCGAGCTCACATAGATCCTCCTGTCTCTGCCTTGACAGTGCTCAGATCAAAGGTGTGTGCCTGGATGACTTCACTATTTTTTATTTTTATTTTATTTTTTATCTTTTCGAGACAGGGTTTCTCTGCGTAACAGCTCTGGCTGTCCTGGAACTCACTTTGCAGACCAAGCTGGCTTCCAACTCACTGAGATCCGCCAGCCTCTGCCTCCCAAATGCTGGGATTAAAGGCCTGAGCCACCACTCTCCTGCTGCTTGACTAATTTTTAAGCGACTTAATGAAGCTGTACGAATTAATGGGGCTAGTTTTCCTAGCTTGGTAGTTTTAGAACAAAGAGCTTCTTGGGCTGGGGGTTGCTCAGTTGGTTGCATGCTTTTGTAGTGGCTCTGAGTTTGATCCCCTGCACTGCATAAACCGGGCATGTTGGTGTATGTATGAAATGTCAGCACTTGGGAGGCAGTAGAAAAATCATTAGTTCAAAGTCACCCTCAGTTATTTAGGGAGTTTGAGACTAGGATGGGACAGATGAGATTCTGTCTCAAAATAACAACAAAATGTAAATATTCCATTAATGTAAATAGCCCCTTTAATACAAACATGGGCCCACGTGGCTGAAGGGCTCCCACAAGCTTCTCTGGCCACTCCACCGCCAATAAATAAACGTGTAAAAAGTAACAAATATTTGTCCTTTATCCTCGGAGTTCTCTAACCATGGGTCTCTTAGTTTGAGCCAAAATCAATAGGTCAAACATCAAAAAGAAAATAAAACAAATCAGAGTAAAGTCTGATGGGGAACAACAGTTGATGTGTGCAGTGCGTATCGAATACATTTCATTTTTTTAAAAAAAGATTTATTTATTTATTATGTATACAGTGTTCTGTCTGCATGTTTTGCCTGCAGGCTAGAAGAGGGCATCAGATCTCATTATAGACGATTGTGAGCCACATTGTGGTTGCTGGGCATTGAACTCAGGGCCTTTGGAAGAACAGCCAGTGCTCTTAACTGCTGAGCCATCACTCCAGCCCCTTCATTTTATTTATTTATTTATTTTTTAAGGGTGTGAGTTAAGACCTTCTGGAAGTTCCTACAGAGCACTGCCCTGGCCGCACGTGTACGCGGGAGGAAGGCACCCGGGAACCCGCCTTGGAGGAAGCCAGCCTCAGACCCCAGATTGGGCGTCCGGGGGTCGCGATCGCGCGCGCACCCCGCGCCCTGCAGAGGCAGCAATCCTCCGGCCGCCAGGGCGGCGCCGCACCCAGCGCGCAACTCCCGCCTCGGGGCGGGGCCGCGGGGAGCGCGCCTCCTGACGTCATCGCCGCGCGCCGCCGCTTGCGCTTCTGCCACTTCGCGGGAGAAGTTGTTGGCGCCAATGGATCCCGAGCCCCGATAACGGATTCCCCCTAGCCGAGGGCCTGCACACCTGCTCCTCTTCGGTCTTCGGGCTGCGATGGTGAGCTGCCCGGGAGGCCGTGCAACTCCAGAGGTTTTGCAGGCCGGGTGTGGACGCGGCGCGGCCGCGGTGCGGGGTGGGGAGGACGGCGCAGGGTGCTCCGAGGGGCCCCGCTTAGGGTGCGGGGCGCACCGCGGGCGCAACGTGCAGGGATGTGGCTGCTACGCGGCACTTTCACACTCCACCCCCGACTCTTGGGGGAAGGGAGGAAGGAAGAGGAACGTGGATTTGGACACGGCGTTAAAAGTTACTTCGGTGTTGGGCATTGTCCCAGATCTCAGTTGGAATGCTTCCTAAAGCCGTGCCTCCAAGCTTTGCGAGGAAGAAAGTAACACTTTGCTTTCTTTGGGAGAAGTTGCTCGGGCCTTCACCAGCTTCTTCCTGAAGCGCGTCTCCGCTGTTTGGAGAGCTGATGACACAAGGAAGTTGCTTTACTTTTTTGAGAGTAGTTTATAGGAGTTGAACAGATGACCTGGCTTACCGGGCATAAAAACCACAGCGGGTACAGAGGGATGTTATGTATATGACAGCTGTCATTTCTTATCACCTGTTTAAAAAAAGTGTTAAAAAAATATCCTCAGTCCCAACTTCAATTCATAATCCTGTGTAATGGACATTCAAACAGCTCGAAAGTAATATAGCAACAGGTATAGGAGACAGTTGCATGTTTGAAATAATTTTTAATTTAAAGGACAATTGAAGATGTTCAGTTAATCTGGAAGATATTTAACAATCATATGTACATATATTTTCTATTATTCTTCAACTTGTTATTATTCAACATTCTTCAGAATGCCAGCATTCAAGGGGGAAAGTTTTATGCCAAATTGGAAAAATTTCAGCTCTCCTGTTGTTTATTCTTGGGGGAAAAAAAGGATAGTAATAGTAGCCACGGAGGGTCAGCCTTTTTTCAGGTTAATATGTGAGTTGTTGCTTTAAATACCCTCTAAGCCGGGAGGTGGTGGTGCATGCCTTTAATACCAGCACTCGGGAGGCAGAGCCAGGCGGGTCTCTGTGCATTAGGCCAGCCTGGTCTACAGAGTGAGATCCAGGACAGGCACCAAAACAGCACAGACAAACCCTGTCTCAAAAACAAAATAAACAAACAAATAAATAAATACCTTCTAAAAATTCATTTAAAGTGCTTTTTTGAAAAAAGATTTATTTTAGTTATGTGTATATGTGTGCCTATGTTTGTGTATGCACATATGTGTGCCCATGGCATCCAGAAGAGGGTGTCGGGTCCTCTGGAACTGGAGTTACAGGTGGTTTTGAGCTGCCCACTGTGGGTGTTAGTTATGGAATTCAGGTCCTCTGCAAAAACAGTACACACTCTTAACCACTGAGCCATCTCTCTAAGCCCCAAGTTCATTAAATGTCTATTTATTCGGTAATGCATATGTTTTGCCTAAATATATTTCTGTTTACATGCATGCCTGGTGCTGTCAGAGGTCAGAAGAGGGTGTTGAATTCTCTGGAACTGGAGTTAAAGATGATTGGAGGTGTTAGGAATTGAACTCAGGTCCCGTGAAAGAGCAGCAAACACTCTAATCACTGAGCCATCTTCCCAGTCACGCCTCTTCAGTTCATTTCAAAATTAAAAAGAAAATTACTTGTTTTATGTGTACAAGTGCTTTGTCTGTGTGCATGTATGTGCATCACATGCAGTCCTGGTCCCAAGATCAGAAGAGGGCATTGGATCCCTTGGAACTGGAGTCATAGATAGCTGTGAACCCTCGTGTGGGTGCTGGAAACTGAACTCAGGTCCTCTGCAAGAGTAACAAGTGTTCCCAATTACTGAACCACATTCAAGCCTCTCAAGTTTGTTTTTTTTTTTTTTTTTTGGTTTTTCGAGACAGGGTTTCTCTGTGTAGCTTTGCGCCTTTTTCCTGGATCTCGCTCTGTAGACCAGGCTGGCCTCGAACTTACAGAGATCCTCCTGCCTCTGCCTCTTGAGTGCTGGGATTAAAGGCGTGCGCCACCACCGCCCGGCAAGTTTGTTGTTTTTTAAGTCCTGGCTGTCCTAGAGCTTACCGTGTAGACCATGCTGGCCTTGAACTCACAGAGATGCTCCTGACTCTTCCTCCTGAGTGCTGGGATTAATGTCATGTTCTGTCATGCTCTGCTCCAAGGTCATTGTTTTGAAGGAAAATTTTGGGTAATGGTATCACGTATCAGGCTTTGATCTTACAATGTCTGTAGAACAGACTGGATCTACCTCAACTTCCAGTTAGTCAACAGTCCAGTTTTTATAGACAGTAAAGACACCTTTGAAACAGATTGTCATACTGGTAGGTGGTTGACCTTGAACTGGAACATAGGCATTTCTGACTACATTCTGCCTCCCTAAAATGATCAGCATTGCATTTTGGAATTTACTTATCTTGGTATTGTGGAAAGTTGATGAGATTTTGAGTTTCCGTCTTAGTTTAATAGTCAACAGTGGGGCTGGAGAGATGGCTCAGAGGTTAAGAGCACTGCTTGTTCTTCCAAAGGTCCTGAGTTCAATTCCCAGCATTCACATGGTGGCTCACAACCATCTGTAATGAGATCTGGTGCCCTCTTCTGACCTGCAGGGATATGTGCAGACAGAACACTGTATACATAATAAATAAATGAATCTTTAAAAAAAATAGTTAACAGTTATGTTGGTATGCTAATATACTTAATAGTTACCTGGTCCTATACACAAGATCACCTTGTGTGAATCTTGCCTCAGCCTTCGAAGTGATGGAATCACTGGTGTGAACCACTGGACCCAGCAAGTAGCTTAATTTTTTTGGTTCCTATTTTCTTTTTTCCTCTTTCTTTCTTTTCTTTGTGTAGCCTAGGCTGTTCTGGAACTCACTCTGTAGACCAGGCTAACCTTGAACTCCTAGAGATCTGCCTACCTCTGCCTCCTGAATGCTGGGATTAGAGGTGTACACCACCACTGGCTGGTTTCTATTTTCTTACTTGCAAAAAGGATGGGGAGAATAATAACTGTCTTGAGTGATTTAACATTAAAAGTTGTATTTATTTACTTTTTTTGTGTATGTGTATGAGTGTGAGTGCCATGGCATATTTGTAGTACCCACATGGCAGCTTATGAGTTGCTATGCAACCGTGCCCTCTTAAGTTAATTAAACATATGTACTTACTGTTATTTTATGTGTATAAGTGTTCGCCTGCATGTTCGCATGCACACCATGTATGTACCTGGTGTCTGAGGAGGCCAGAAGAGGGGGTTGGAGCTCCTGAAACTGGAGTTACAGGTTGCTCTGAGCTGCCACGTGGGTGCTGGGAGCTGAACCTGGGTCCTCTGGAAGAGCAACAAATACTGTTAACTGCTGAACCGTCTCTCCAGCTCCCTTTAAGTGACTGTTTGCAAAATTAAAACAAGTTAAGGGCAGAGAGGCGGTTCAGTTGGTACAGTGCCTGCCCTGCAGGCCTGAGGACTTGAGTTTGGGTCCCCGGCACCCAAGTAAAATGCGGGTGCAGTTTCTTGCATGTGTAACCCCAGTGCAGGGGTGTGAGCTGAGTGGATGCCTGGGGCTCATGGCCAATCAGCCTCCGTAAATCATCTGCTTTAGGGTCAATGAGAGACCCTGCCTCAAATATAAGGAGAGCTAATCTCAGCGCTCGGGAGGCAGAGGCAGGCGGATCTCTGAGTTCGAGGCCAGCCTGTGAGTTCCAGGACAGCCAGGGCTACACAGTGAAATCCTGTCCTGAAAAAAAAAAAGAGCATTTGAGGAAGATAACCTAGTGAAACCTCTGGATTTCACCTGCAGTGTGCACATGTACCCACATGCACCTGCATAGACCCTCATGCACACAATACAAACATGTAAAACATACCACGTACACACACAAAACCGCAACAAAATTTCTGGCAAACAATGTATGTAGAGCTTTGATTCTGAAACTTGGAATGCATTATATAATTGTTCCAACTGCCAATAGTCTGTTTTTTCAGAAAGGACACTAGAAAATTACATAGGGTTTTTGTTTTGTTTTTGAGACAAGGTCTTACTGTATATCCCTCACTGGTCTGGAACTGCTGTGCAGACCATGCTGGCCTTGAACTGACAGAGATCCTCTGGCCTCTGCCCCTGTTACCTATGATGGAATTAAAGGTGTGCACCACTATGTCCAGTCTGTTTTGTTTTGTTTTGTTTTTTGAGAGGACTCACTATGTAGTTCTGGCTGTCCTGGAACTCATTCTGTAGACCAGGAAACTCAGAAACCCGACTGCCTCTGCAGACCTCCTGAGTGCTAGGATTCAAGTCGTGTGCCACTTCGCTCCACTTTACATCAGTTTTTCAGGGTTTTTACATAGTTTTACATACTCTGCTGGGCATGTTTGTAATCAGTACTTAATGAAGCCGAGGCAGGAAGATCAGGAGTTGAAGTCCAGCCCCCATTGCCTGGTTCCAGGCCAGCCTGTAGTACATGAGCTCCTATCTCAGAAAATTAGGGGGAAAAGGGTTGGGAGCTTCCTAGATGCTTCTGATGTTTGGTGGACTGCTTGAGCGTTCAGGTTCTTTCAGGCCTTGTTTTTATTCTCTCTGATGTGTGAGTCGAGGCCGGAGGAGGGTGTTTGGCGTGCCGGCCTAGCACTCTCTCCCTCTGTCCCCCTCTCTTTCTCTGTCTGCTTTATCCTGAGGTTGAGTCTCTCCTTGGTCCTCCAGCTTGCTGTTTTTCATGTAGGCTCTGTGATCCTCATGTCTCTGCTTGCCCTGTGCTGGAGTTACAGGTACTTGTGGCCGTGCCTAGTTTTATGGGGCACTGTGGGTCCGCTCGGAGTCATCCCCTCGCCTAGACTCACCCTATTTTTGTGAGGGTCTCTCACAGCCTGGAGCTCACCAGCTGCCTAAATTGGCTGGCTGGTCAGCAAGCTCCAGGAATCTTGTCTGTCTCTGCTTCACCAGTGCTGGATTACAGTGTGTGCCCACACACCTGCCTTTTTATGTGGACGCTGGGATCCAGTGCTGGATTACAGTGTGTGCCCACACACCTGC